TGTGCTTTTTTAATGATACTTGTTCACCTACATATTACTGAAGACAACTATTTCGTCATGGTATCAATTATAGTCGCAACTCTCTTTGTATTCGTTATTATTCTGACATATATCTATTTGAAACGTGGTTACTCTCCATCACTAGATGATCTATCAGGAGTAAAATCACATATATTTTTCGGTAATCTCATTAATTCTGGTATATTGACAGGAAAATTAACATTTCATCAAGTTGTGCTCGATTATCAACGTCGTTTTGGTGACAAATTTCAATATTGGTTCAGTTCACATCGATGTTTAGTTTTCTGTGGACTAGAACATGCACAAATCATATTTGCCGATCGTCATACTTTCGAACAATCGCCATTATTTTTTGGAAACATTGATCTTATTTGTCCGAGTGACATTATAATCTTGACTAGTGCTAAATGGAAACGACATATACGAGTTTTGTTACTGATGTTGAGACGAGCAAAGATTATCGGTCATTTAGAGACGATTGTTCAATGTGCTGATCGTTTTATTGATCAAAATTTTCATCCTGATCAAGTTCATCGAGATTTAGTCTCATCCTGTCAATCATTTGCAATGAATGTCATTGGACTCATTGAATTCGGCTGCGATTTCGATATGTATGCCGATTCACTAATAAAAGAAGCTTTTTATGATATTACATCCTATGCCATGTGACTGATGGTCTCACCGTAGGTGCCTCGATGGTTGGGGAAAATCTATTTGAAATATAATTGGAAATATCAACGTACTTATAGATTGATTCATGAATTGTCAGAAAAGCTAATCGAAGAAGAACAAAACAAATAAAGTGAAATGGAAAATGAACAACCGAAGAATCTCATTGCTTTATTAGTTTCATCATTGAATGAAGAAGCTAATGACGATCAAGTTTTATCTGGTCTAACACGTGCAGAGATCTTCGATGAAGTTTTGATGATGATTATGACTGGTTACGAAACGACATCAACTGCTCTATCATGGTTCATATTTTTTGCAAGTAAAAATCCTCAAATACAACAAAGAATGAAAGAAGAATTGCGCAAACATCATCTTCTGATGATAGATAATCTCAAATATGTACCACCACTAACAGTAGACAATTTAACTTCACTAACCTATTGTGAATGTGTGACAAAAGAGGTTGGTTTTGTCTCGAAATGTTAGATTATTTTTATAAGATTTTTCTCTGTATCTAGGTCTTACGTTTGGGTCCTGTCTTTGGATTGACATCCCGTATAGCTACTTATGATACTATCGTTGACGATGTGAAGATTCATCGTGGTCAAACTATTCTTATTGCTTTGCATAACATAAATACTGATGCTCGGTATTGGCATCATGGTGATCCTCAATAATTTGTATCAGAAAGATTTTTAGGTGAAGATAAAAATCATCATCCATTAGCAATGATTCCATTCGGTGGTGGACATCGAGCATGTATTGGACAAGAATTAGCTTGGCTCGAATTGAAAACGATTATTGTCCGAATGATGCAACGTGATATCACATTCGAAGATACGCCAGAAAATGTCGGCGGTTACAACGAACGCATTACTTGTTTCCCAAAAAACGTGGTAGTGCGTGTACGCTTCGATTGATCTGAATATTTCACGCTCATAAGACTAGAACTGTAGACAAAAAGATATCCAATTTTTTTTGAATAGTTATTATCTTGTGTAGATGCTTGCTTATTGATTTGCATGATAGTTATAGCGAGGTTGTAATAGATACTAGAATTTATATGCCGAAAATCGCGTCAAAAGTGTTTCATTGTAGGCTTCATATTAACATAAAGTCAAATCGAAGTGACGAGGATATTATTAGGCGATTGAAATTATCGACCTCATAGAACAAGCATGATAAGTGGACGTGGGTGCAGTTAAAGAGGCGAGTCACACCCACTCACACCACAAATTTTGTTTATTTTCTTCTTTATTTAAGTGTAATTTGCCAGTTTTTTTTCGCTAGAAAATCAATTAGATAATGAAATACAATTTGAATTCTCAATAAATAATTTAAGATTTTCCACACATAATTGATT